ATTTAAATTCTATTTCATGCTTGTAGTATTGTGTGGCCCCAACTCGTCAGCAACTGTGGTAGTGACTGCTATGAACTGTAAATTTACACAAACACGTAAGAAGGGTTTAAAGACATTTTTATTCCACTTTAAAAGTAACAGCTGCGTTCACTTGACGCTCACAAACTACGCCGACCCGGCGGTTTAATCGAAACAGAAATGTGAAACTAAAAAATAATGAATGGATGAATGAATAACTAGATCACTACCTACGAGGCTCTGAAATCTTAACCGCGTTCTAAAATGCAGCTGGGATTCAGCGAGCTTACTGATTAAGCAGTTGAAGGATTCAGCAAAAACTGCCGAGATAGGTACACAGGCCGAAACGCGCGGTTCTTAAATTTCTACCTAGCAACCTTCACATTCGCGATTCAAGAAACACACTTACAATCTCGTTTCCCTTCTATTTAAACTCAACTTACTTCTGCTAAATTTGAATATACTGCGCGCTCTACTACAATTTACATACTCTAGCATTGACAATTCTACGGGAAAGAAAAGGCTGACAGGAAAGATAGCTTTAAATAAATGTTAGTTAAAATAAATATAAACCCTACATGCTAACCATTCTAGAAGTGAAAAGTTCTTAATCTTACTTTGTCTGTCTTCGTACTTTCTCTAATATATTTTCCTACTTAAGTATCATGTTTTTTTTTTTTTTTTTTTTTTTTTTTTTTTTTTTTTAATTCTTCTGTAAATTATACATTTCATGTACAACCACAAAACACTGCATACATTTTTATGAAGAATTTATTCGCATAGACCTTTTATTGCAGCTTAAATTCAAATTCGAACAGTAGAATAAATTGCCTTTATGATTTGAAAGAAAATGAGTAAAGTCCAGTCCGTGACTTCGCTCCGAATTTTAATCAAAATCACTCTACCCTAACAACAATAAAAACTCTTAGCCTCAGGAAACAAGATGCTGCAAATAAAAATTAATTATTATTAGAAAGTCACGATGATCTTTCTTGCTTAAAAAGCATTTGTAAGACAACTGCATCAAAACTTTTCCTTTCACCCTTTAGTCTATTTTATGACCATTCTAATCATGAGAACATCTATAAGGCTTTTAATGGTGGTTCGTGATGCATGTTTTTACGGAAGTCAACTTCAGGTCTTATAAAGAAAATCCCAGAGGAATTGTTTTTTCTATTGCTAATTTCCCGAATAAGAAACAAACCACTGTTTGTTACTCCCATTTGAAGCACGAGGAAAATTAATTTTTAATTATAAAACATGTGCTGAAATTCATTCCTAAATTCAGTTAGTTCCAGGGATTTGCTATTTATCTGGTTGCATTCAGGCATTTTGCTGCAGAAACTGAAATTTCAGGTAAAAAAATAAAGTACAATTATAAAAAAAGATATTTTTACAATAAGCATTTATTTAAAATGAATGTTATGGTTAATGCCCTAAAAAATAAAACTAATTTATAAGTTTAACGGAACTAATAGATTAAATAATTTTATTTAAGATGTTCATTTATGATTTTATATCGCGAAAAATAACAGCATCTCGCTCATGATAAATTAAAAAAGATATTGGCTGATGCATTAACTTTTTAAATCATAAAGGCAATTTATTCTACTGTTCGAATTTGAATTTAAGCTGCAATATAAGCTCTATGCGAATAAATTCTTCATAAAAATTTATGCAGTGCTCTGTGGTTGTACATGAAATGTATAATTTACAGAAGAATTTTAAAAAAATCATGATAATGCGAGTAGGAAAATATATTAGAGAAAGTACGAAGACAGACAAAGTAAGATTAATAACTTCTAACTTCTAAAGTGGTTAGCACGAAGTAGAACTTAAATGAAAGCTTAGCAAAGAGACTGTTATTGTCTACGGGTAGGAGCTCAAACTCTTATGGGGTAGATACATTAAAGAAGATAACCGCTTATACCTTTCGTAGTGAATAAATTAATAGATTTCACTATTTACGTGCCCCTCGATTGTTATTATTAGCATATAAAATTACAGATAAATTCTGGAAATAGATTTATTTGATTCTCAAAAATATTACCATCAAAATATGTGATAAACTATTTTTCTTTCTTTGTACATTAATTATCATACTCATTTTAAATAAAATCTTATTGTACAAAACTTTTTTTAATTGTATAGTGTATTTCGTGGTTTATAGTATTCGCTATTTTCTGAAAAGTTAGTCTCTATTAAAACATAAGTAATTAATTATAAGAAAATCATGAAATAAAGAAAGATAACTGAATGTCATTCAGAAAATGAAGAAACTGTTTTGAATAGAAATGAAAAGAAACATGCCAATGTGACAATCAAAATCACAATAACAACCTTGTATTTAGCGTAAGTATATTACAACACTCAATCGATTTCGAGGGCAGCTAAAAGTCCCTCCTCATCAGGAGAATGAAATTCCTAGAAAGGGGAAAAAAAATATAAACAAAGCATGAGCAAAGGAGTCTCAACACGTGGTCCTTATCAGCACGCACGTGGTCGTAACCGGAATTTGAATCAAGAGTTACACTTGGCCGTCTACTTTTACTGAGCCATGCTATCTGATCAAACATAGGACTAAAACGCAAGAAAATCAGCGAAGTCAAAAAATAGGGAGCGGGGGCAACTTCACCTTCACGCACCAAGTCTGAACTTCGAATAAAGAGGGTAAATAATAAGTTTTGAATATTAAATATCGGAAACTGGATATAATAATAATTTTATTTAACAAGCATTTTACTTAATGATAAAATGAGAAAATGAATATCATCAACTAACTACTTGTCATTATTGGTGAAAATATTTTAAATTTCGTTGTTAAGTGAAGCAAGATGACAAACTCAAAAGCAGTATTTCAATGAAAAACATTTTCTTTTTTCTGCAGTCTGCTTCCGACCTCAAAACATTTGTTTAAAGTATCTGACGTGGATACCACGTGACTTCCTTGTACTGCCTGTTAAATTAGGCACATTTTTTACTGCACTTTAACTTAACTTATTACCTCGTATTTCATTAGAGATATAGTATTTCTCATTCTATCAATTCAGTTCTTACTTCGCGGCAAAGCAAAAATGAATAAAAACATAAATCACCTTCATTAAAAATTGCACAATACAGAAAAAGCTAAAGCATCAAATACAGTTTAAAAAACAATTTTTACAATTAAAATTAGTGTTTCTACGCAAAAACAAGTTATTCGACAAGCGGGCAGGTAGACAACATTTTTGCTGCTCAAAACTGAAAATTATATTTTGGTCCCACGCGGCAAAAAGACACTGAAGTGGGTACAATAACCGACTTAAATCACAATTCTATTAAGAGATTCAAATGTAAACAAATGGTAGCCTGTTGGGTTTAGTGCCACTTAAACAACTCTAAAATTGTTAATAATTCTACAGTACTGCATGTGAATTAAGTGAAGGCATAAAAGGCTTAACCGAAGCATCAGAGAAACATAATTCAATCACGTTAAAGCTACCCCCCTCAAAAAAAAAAAAAAAAAAAAAAAAAAAAAAAAAAAAACTGAAATGTTTCAGATTTATAATTACGTCCAAAGGGGCGTTTGTTAACATTGTACGTGTTACTTTAGTTATTAAATATCACGTTCTCTGCACTTAAACCATAAAACTCAGTTCAATAGCAATGCAGCAAAATAATTTTAAAATCAGCATATATTTAGAACTTCCGATACACTGTAAAGACATTAGTATTTTTGAAAAGCCGGAGAGATGAAAATTTAGCAAAATGGTCGTTGAGTAACACAGCTCAGGGTCAAAATGTTAAAAATTAGCAGTGATGGAAGTGTTCCATAATATCTCTGATCTACTGATAAATATAAATGTTTAATTTTTGATTTCTTAAGCATTACAAAATGGAACCCTGACTGTCATTTCACGGGAATTTTATTCGATACAATTAAAAGAAGATAAACTATTTTCTATAAAATAAACTGTTCTTTACCTAATTAAGCCCCCAGCAGTGGCCGAGTGGTTAAGACCACTGAATACTAAGAATTCGACCGAGGTTCGATCTCAGGCCAAAGGGCTGGTTGAATGGTTAGTTTTCGTTATTTTCCACAGGTAAAATGTGAATATCATGCAGTTAAAAAAATACTCAACGAAGCCATATCTGCCTTTGGGAAATAGCTCATGAGCGTTGCTATATTTATTTAATAAATCAACTTTTATCTAAACGTTTGAACTGAAATATTTCAGTTACATTCAAGCGCTTTACACGACAAATACTAAGAACTTCAAATTCATACATAAAGAAGAAGGAACAAGTTAGACGATTTATAGAATACTAGCTGTACCCGCCCGGCGTTGCCCGTGCATTTAGAAAATGCAGATAAGTGAATAGCGCAGGAATAGTAGTGTAGGACATGTAGACTGTCTCTCTCTCTTCCCCCCACACACACAACATTCCCCGTCGATAAAAAGGAACAATATATCCTAACCATGAGCCATCTGTTAAAAAATTAGTTTAAATGAGAACAGACCTCATATTAGCACATGCTAGGAAACCGTAGTCATGTGGTTATAATCATTGGTCTGAAGTATAAAGAAAAGTAAACATAAAAAATTCAAAATCAAAGATAGGAAAGAGTTGAAAGGGAAAGATAGAGAGTACAGTACAGAAAAAATAAAAAGTAACGAAAACATGGATGAAATAAAACATCCTGCTTACAGGAAATTTGGAGTTAAGAACCAATTAAATTTTTAATTTAAGTGTAAGTTAATTAAATTTAGATGACAATGAATTAGAAGAGGAGAGTGTTTGTGTATGTTTGTGGAGCTCGAGCTGGGGTCGCAAGGGCCCCTGACCGATTAATGTCTGTTGGTACGGCAGCACCATTCGGATTATTGCTCATGCTCTCAAGAGAGCACTAAACAATAACATCACTATTTAAAGCATGATAGTCAGAGTTAGTTTGGGAGAGTGGAGAGTGGCAATAATTTTTCGTTAGATTGTCCTTTTCGTTAGAGAGCCTCGGGATAAACTATATTTAATGTTCTTCCATTCGGAGCTAAGATGTGTAGATTATCGGCATTACCAACTCTTGAACAACCCACGTACAGTTGACCATGGGAGAAACACGGCTTACGGAGGTCGAGCCCTACAACTTTGAGAGATTGTCCTTGTGCCTTATTAATGCTCATCGCGAAACTCAAACGAACAGGGAATTTTAGACGCTTTAAACTGAAAACTGGAGATCGGAAGGGATTATAGGAATTCTTGAAATAAAACACATCTTCGCCTGCAGCATGTCCGGTCATGATGGTGGCTTCTATAATATTTGGCATCAGTTTCTTGATAGAAAGTCTTGTTCCATTGCAAAGTGCAGGCGGATCCAGATTCCTGAGGAGAATTATCGGTGCTCCAACCTTCAAGTCCAATATGTGGGAGGGTACTCCAGGTGGCTCTAATTTGTTGAGAAACTCTGTCGTATAGTTGACAGCCTCGTCAATTTTGCATGTCGTGTCTATAGATTTGTAAATATGAAGAGTTCCGGGTAAGTTCTGTAAAAGTTCCTTGTTGATAACACTGACGGCTTCGTTTGTTGGGGCAAGAATTGCTCTTTCGCACAGCCATGCGTGATCAGTGAAGTGGTGAATCACATTCGGAAACACAGCCTCTTTCAGTTCTTCTTCAGTAGTCACAATCCTTCCAATGCCTTGCATCGCTACATATCCATCTTCATTTTCTGAAGTAAGGGCTCCATTTCCTAGTTTCAGTAGATTATCTGCAAACTGCTGGGCAGAGGGATCACCGTTGAGATGAACTCGCATGTTAGTCGATAATCCAAGTGTTTGAATGCCATTCCAGATGTAAGAAGATTTTATGCAGGCCTGCATTTCATCTGCCCTTCGTTCCACGCGGAATAACTGGTAGCGTCTGTCGAAAATCGCCTGCCAAAACCATTACGACGCCTCCCATTCTGTCATTGTTCCGTCTGAGGTCTTTCATGGTGACATCTAATGCTTCGAATGCGGCTTTGTGGGACATGGTACACTCGTCCCAAACGATGAGCTTGCAATCCTGTAGAACCTTTGCCTTTCCTGAATTCCTTGGGATGTTACACGTTGGAGTCTCTGTGCTTGTCAGATTTAAGGGTAACTTGAACGCCGAGTGAGCAGTCCTACCACCTGTCAAGAGTGTAGCAGCAATGCCGGATGAAGCGACAGCCAGGGCAATCTCATTTCTGTGCCGCACCTTTTCCAAAATAAGGTTGATAAGAAACGTCTTCCCGGTTCCGCCTGGAGCATCCAAAAAGAATATACCCCTTTGCCTATCAAAAACTGCTCTAGTAATCTTGTCAAAGGCTTCTTTTAGATCTTGGACCAATTTAGGCTCATTCTCCTGTATATAAGCTGCGAGCACATCCATGTTATAACTTCGTTCTCTAATTACTTCACTGGAAATGGCAGAATCGCTGTTTCTGTTAGGTTGGGGAAGTCCAAAGCTTTTCAGGTTCAATCCTCCTAGAGATATTATCTTGTTCTCAATGTAGATTAGGGCTCTGTTAAAGATGTCGTCATTGTAGTCCAGGTCCATATTCTGCTGCTGGATCCTTGCTTGATGCAGTATGTCTTCAGACAGGTTCTCCCTGTGGTTCATCCATAAACTGTTCAGGGCCCGACATGGAGCACGTTTGAAGCATTACAGCAAACAGATTACGCATCATCTTGGGTGATCGAGATGCAGCTGCTTCTTCTAACGCCGTGTTCCAGTGTTCGTCATTCTCCAGAAGTCCTTGAAGTTGGCAGGCCTCTTTGAAAGTGTTGCAGACTCTTCCTTGAACGGTTCTCAAATCCGTGAATGATGTTGGGCCTTAACTTCATGTAGTAATAGGCGAAGGTGGTGGAAGCATTCGGAGTTGTTGGGATGGACGGTGTAGACACGGCCAAGAGCATCAGTAGACCGGATTCCTGTTTCTTCTGGAACAATTTGTCCTTGTTTACGGCGGTTCCAACTCTTGTTCCTGCTGTTCCATGTGTAGTACTTTGGAATTTGGTTTTTTGTAAAGTAAATTGCGAGCAAAGTTATCTTGGGTGCACAGCTTGAAGAAAGATGTGAGCGTTGTTTCCTGGGGCGCCTGGACCCGTTCAGCAGCATTTTCTTCAGTGAAGTACACTCTCTGGCCATTTTCAAGGTGGACGCTTAGATGAACGACTGTGGGATGACGTTCGTGGATTGGAAAGTTGAGTATTCTCCACACTGCTTCATTGCTGCTAATGTATCTTCCTATCTCATATTGATGAATTTCATTCAGTTCTTTGGCTCCACTGGTGACATCAAATACAGCCATGTCGGATCCTTTATTGACATACTTGCATACATACTTTATGGACTTGACAGAATTGCAGTACTTAACGTTGATATGTGCGTTAAAAATTTTGGATAGTAGTGGACAGTAAGGAACAATCCAGGCATTGTCCACCGAAACTTCTGATCCTCGTAGATTGATGCTTGCTGTAAAACCTCCATCTGCAGGGCTTCTACGACGATACAGTGGATATCCGTCTTGTCCCGTCTGCGTCTCTTTCAAGAACTGGCGAGGGTATCGCTCTCTTGTCGTTTTATTTTCCAAACATTTCTTTTTTCGAGGTGGCTGCGGCATATTTCTTCTAAAATCTGAAAAGCAAAAGTTAAGCAACCAACAGAAGAATGATTACAAAAACTGAAGAAAAATGAAGAAGAAAACGCTACAATAAGAAATCAATTGTTATAATCGAACGTTATTTGAAAATAAATAATAGCAACACGATCAGTGAGTCAAACCACCACGATAATATTAATTAAGAAACAAAAGTTTAAAAAAAAAAAAGAAATTAATGTGTCATGAAAACAGCAAACTAAAGCTACAAAAAAGAAATGAATTGTAATTAATCGATTTAATGTATCGTCAAAACAGCAAACTAACGCTAGAATAAAGAAATCAATTGTTACAATCGAACGTTATTTGAAAACAAATAATAATATCAGTGAGTCAAAAAAACCGTGATTAATTAATTATAAATAATTTTTTTAAAATTTTTCTAATTCAAAAATCGAAAATCGGGCTTCGAGGTCTGGTGGCCAGCCCCTTTGTGCTTCCGTATAAAAAATTCCAGGTCCCTGCGTGCCATAGATTTGGCTGGAGAGCTCGGTCAGACAGACAGACAGACAGACTTACACTTGCTTTTATTATTATAGATGTACTAGGAATTCCCATTCATTTTCTTTAAATAACGTACAAAATCTTTTCCAGTTTCCTAGTAAAAACATTTTGTTAAGATAGGATTGGTAAGTTCCCCACAGGTGTTTCATATATAGATTTGGGTACGCTTATGCTTTCCATTACCTTGATAATTTTACTCACAAACTACATAAACGAGATTTAGTGCTATTTTTAATTTAAAATCAGCGAATCCATGTGAGGAAATATATACTCCCGTGTTTAAATCTAAATTATATACTGATTTTTTTTCATTTATATAAATGATAATAAATATCCAGATTACCACAGTATACAATATTTACTGATGATAATAATCACAAGTTTAGGAGTATGTTCAGTGATGCCTAAGAAGGATCCAATCACTTATCACTTTCTTTAAGTTACTTTTTTTCATAATTCCCTTTAGCTATAACACCTTATCCATATTTATAACTAATAAAGCAACCAGTTTTCTTTTCCCGAGAAAATGAGATCTTTTCCCTGTAAGCAGCCTTAAAATTTCTCATATTATTCATTTTTATACACATATAATTTAAAAATATTGACACGTTTTTGAATTTAAATTGCATTATGAATTCGTTTAGGTTTTCTTCTTTTGCAAAGCAGTTTCAAAAATTGCTTCATATTTAAATTTGGAATATAAAACTTTCTGTTTAATACGCAAGAAATGAGTTATAAGAATATCTTAAAATTTCTCCGTTATATAGTCTCTGTTTACGAAAAAGAAAAGAATATAAATTATACAATCTGGTAGTTTTTAGTACTCCATTTTCCTAGTTTCTGCTGAAATAAATTTTACGTGATGTAAAGAAACTGATATAATACTTACAATTCTGCTATAAATCATTGCAGTGATTACTCCTGCAGCACCTACTAAACAGGCAAAGAGTTATCGCTACATCTTAAACAACTCACAAATATAGAAAAAGAAAGTTTAAGAAATATTTTCATTTTAGACTTAATTTGAACATAAAGACATGGCTTGCGCTACAGACGAAATTTCCACATTCGTGGATACTACATAATTGCACAACTTGCGTAACAGACAAAATTTCTACACTCAGGGATATTCAATTTAACAGATAATTACATTTTAAACATTGAAAACATATTCTAAGACAGAATAAAGTGGCTGAGATATTTTACAGGAGTGTATTATTTCAAACGTCGACTAGCCAGAGAGTTAAAGAGGGAATTGTGTGTGTGTGTGTGTGTGATTATGGCAAAGCCTCGAGGGCTATCTGCCTAAGAGGAGGGATGCCTTCGTGGAGGACTTTCTAAGGGAAACTGGCTCGTATACACGTTACACATGGGGAAAACCACGAAAACGCCCATGCAGCCAGCCCGTTTGCGGGATTCGAACCTCGGACCGAACTACCAGTGTTCAGCGACTTTACCGCTCGGCCGCTGGTGGGCGTTAAAGAGGGAATATCACATTTAATCAGAGCTGGCGAACCATACTATCTTCAAGACGTGATAGCTAGAAGATTTCTCAGCTAAAGAATCAAACCCCTTAGCTTAAACACACACAAAACCAATATGCATTTAGGTGAGGAATACGGAATAGAGAAGTTATATTAAATCATAAAAACTGGTTAATTAAAAAAAGATGCATTAAATGTGCATCCATTCTATTTTAATATAGTATTGTTACGGTTTATGTATTGATTTAGCTATTTTTAAATTGAATTAATTAAAATTGTTTTATAATCCAGTGCAATGCAGCACGAAATTTATTCTAAGAGAAAGCGGCGCCGGAAATATTAAAAATACAAGAGAACGAGGTTTTGATAAATAGATTTCTCGTAAGTGTACCTTTTGCTTTTCGGGAAAAATCGGGAAAATACCAGAATATCCTCGCGCACATTTAAAAAGCTTATAAAAACGGGATCGAAACCTCTCTATTCAGTTTGTTTAGAAAACTGCTGTTGTTCACTGTAGCGAATTCGCGGTGAAATCGGATCAGCTTTCTATGTTTTGAGTTAAGTTCTGTTGAACGTTTGAGTAGATTAAAAGATTACCACGGTGAGATATTTCAATATTGTCATATCTGTGGAAATTGAAGCATTTTATTTAATTTTTTATGATAATAATAATTTTTATTCACTTTTCATCGGACTTGCGCATTCAATTCTTTACAAACCCGTATGCACGCAAGAATATAAATAGATTTTTACGTTACTATTTTTAATAGAGAAAATACTTCCAAGGATATATAAAAAATAATTCAATTCAAATATGGATGAAAATTTTGAAAATTCAAAAGAAAAAAAAAAGAATTAAATTTTTACAAGAATATATTGCTTATACTGGCTATACTGCAGAAGGTCTTAGTCAAGTTATGATTGTGTGGACGTTATACAAAACAAACAGTATCGATATGCACTGACCAAATCGTTGAAGATCAATTTAAAATTGAAAAATTATATGACTCTTGTGTTTTTCAAAATGCATCATAGGCAGATATCTCAAAAACTATCTAAGATTAAAACGATCACATTTGAATTACTTTAAAAGCAAGCAGTTTTAATCCAAGCCAGATATTAGTGCATGTGTCTTTGGTTATTT